AAGGTTGGAATATTCACAGAGGAGATGACCCGCCTATTCCGTCACGCTGCCCCAACCATGCCTGAGGAAAAGAAAGTTTGTTTCCTCATGCGTGGGGTCAAACAGGAGCTCTTCGTGGGACTAATGAGGAATCCACCGAACACCGTCCAAGAATTTGTATCCGAGGCGACCACCATCGAAAAAACGCTGGACATGCGCACCAGACAGTATAATCGTCGCCTGACTCCAGAATGCGCTGCTGCTCAAGTCAGTAACTCCGACGACCTGCGTAAAACGATCCGAGCGATCGTGCGGGAAGAGCTGCGCCAACTGTTGCCTTCGGCGCAGCCTCAAGTGGATTCGATCGCCGACATTGTGCGAGAAGAAGTGCGGCAATCGCTTCGAATTCCCGAAACACCGCCGCCCGAGCCAGAAACTATGAGCTACGCCGCTGCAGTGCGCCACAACGCTCCTCCCCGTCCACGCCAAAACGCCGACCCGTCACACTTCCGTCGCCAGACGCCACTGCCGCCACCACCCCAACCGACGTCCTACTGTTCCCCAGCGGGCCAGCGCAGTGCACCGAGGAAAACGGACATTTGGCGTGCACCTGACAACCGCCCGCTCTGCTACCACTGCGGCGAGGCCGGGCACACATACCGCCGTTGCCAGTACCGACAGATGGGACTGCGTGGCTTCGCCGTCAATGCACTGCGTCCGCAGCCAGGAGATCGGCCACGTGACATCGCCGACTACCTGGCAGGAACTTAATGGACACCACGAAGTCCTTCCCGTTCGCCGTCGCCCAGCCGCCGCATGTCACCGCACCCCCGGCAGTACTCTGGCCCAACGCGGGGCCGGTCTCCTAGCCCGTATCCGGGAAACTAAGGGCAGCAACCGATGGAGGTGCGGTTGCTGTGCGACGAACTACCGAAGATCCGCCGACGCCGACGCGACGGAGCTTTTTGAACACAACCCCAACCAGGCAAAGCCCTGAAGACAAAAGCTCACTTACCGAAGGTGGCCGGACGACGCAACATGGAAGCAGCGGAACAAGCCGACGCAGCCGTGACCCGACGCCACGCCCGAACTGTAATGCGAGACGGCGAACTAGCGACCTCGACGTTCTTATCGACGGCCACAGTGTGACTGCTCTCGTCGATACTGGAGCCGACTATTCTGTCATCAGTGGGTCGTTCGCCGCAAAGTTAAAGAAAGTTAGGACAGCTTGGAAAGGCCCTGAAATCCGCACAGCCGGAGGTCATCTCGTAACGCCTGCAGGAATCTGCACAGCGAGAGTCACCATTAACGGCCGTATTTATCCTACAGACTTCGTAGTCCTACAGCGTTGCTCGAGAGATGTCATCCTTGGCATGGACTTCTTATGCCTTCATGGTGCTGTCATCAACCTAAAAACAAGGTCGATAACGTTATCCACAGAAGAAGCACTACCGCCGCGCACGCCGTCAGGACACCATGCCTTGAATGTGCTGGAAGAACAAGTCACCATTCCGCCTCGCTCAAGCGTCATTATTTCAGTTGGCGCTCCTAAATCACCTGACTAGGAAGGCGTCGTTGAAGGCAATCAGCATCTGTTGGTCACCCGAAATATTTGCGTCGCAAGAGGAATTGCAGAGCTGCGGGGAGGCAAAGCAACGGTTATACTCACGAATTTCAGCAATGAGTACAAACATGTGAACAAAGGAACAACGGTCGCATACATCGAAGAAATTGTCGAAGCCACCAGTGCTTTCGCCCTCGCCGATTCTGCGGAACCTGCTCAGAGGAACCAAGCCCCTCCCATAGCTTTCGACATCAATCCCAGACTTTCGAACAATAAGCAAGAACAGCTCAAGGCCCTGCTCCTGCAATACGAAGATTGCTTTTCGTCGTCATCGAAAATTCGGCAGACCCCAATCACGAAACATCGAATCATAACCGAAGAAAATGCCAGACTACTCCGTCAGAGTCCGTACATGGTTTCGACGCGAGAACGTGAGGCAATGAAGAGACAAGTTGATGAAATGCTGCGAGATGACATTATCCAGCCGTCCAAGAGTCCGTGGGCATCCCCCGTGGTGTTAGTGAAGAAAAAAGGTGGGACTCTACGTTTCTGCGTCGATTATCGCCGCCTGAACAAAATCACAAGAAAAGACGTGTATCCTCTCCCACAAATAGACGACGCCCTTGATCGGCTCCATAACGCCAAGTACTTCTCGTCAATGGACCTCAAGACTGGCTATTGGCAAATCGAAGTCGACGAAAGAGACCGAGAGAAGACGGCGTTCATAACACCGGACGGCCTCTTCGAGTTTAAGGTGAAGCCACTGAAGCCAGAAAAGTGCAGATTTGCGTATGAGGAGCTCTTGTTTCTGGGGCACGTTATCAGCAAGTCTGGAGTTCGTCCCGATCCACGGAAAACAGCCGCCATCGCCGATTTCCCGCCGCCCACTGACAAGAAGGTCGTGCGCCGATTTCTGGGCCTGTGCGCTTATTATAGGCGGTTCGTGAAAAACTTCGCCCGCATCGCCGATCCTCTCACTAACCTTACCAAGGCCGACTCGGAGTTCAAGTGGGAAACGCCACAGGAACACGCTTTCCAGGAGCTTAAACATCGCCTCCAGGCGCCTCCGTTACTTGCCCATTTCGACGAATTCGCCGAGACAGAAATACATACTGACGCAAGCAGCGTAGGTCTTGGCGCCGTTCTTGTGCAGAGGGCTGACGGACTTGAAAGGGTTATTAGTTACGCCAGCCGATCGCTATCCAAAGCAGAAGCAAATTATTCCACAACAGAAAAGGAGTGCCTCGCCATCATCTGGGCTACGTCGAAATTTCGCCCCTACCTCTACGGCAGGCCCTTCAAAGTTGTGAGCGACCACCACGCCTTGTGTTGGCTAGCCACCTTGAAGGATCCTTCAGGTCGCCTCGCACGATGGAGCCTGAGACTTCAAGAATATGACATTACTGTCATTTACAAGTCCGGCAAAAAACACTCCGACGCTGACTGTCTCTCTCGTGCGCCTGTCGACCAACCGCTACCCGATGACTCGGATGACGACTACTTCTTGGGAACGATAACTACCGACGACTTCGCTGAACGACAGCGGGCCGACCCGGAACTTAAAGCCCTAATAGAATACCTCGAAGGCAGGACCGCCGAAGTCCCGAAGGTATTCAAGCGCGCACTTGCGTCGTTCTTTCTACGAAACGGTCTTCTACAAAAGAAAAACTTTTCACCGCTTCGAGCTAAGTACCTCCTTGTGGTGCCTTCAGCTCTGCGACCAGAACTCCTGCAGGCCCTGCACGACGATCCGACGGCAGGGCACCTCGGTGTTTCCCGCGCGCTCGCGAGGATACAAGAAAGGTACTACTGGCCACGTCTTACCACCGACGTCACTCGTTATTTGAGGACATGCCGGCACTGTCAGCGACGCAAGACACCGCCGACAAGGCCAGCGGGACTTCTGCAGCCAATTGATCCACCTTGCCGACCTTTCCAGCAGATTGGTATGGACCTACTGGGGCCGTTCCCGACGTCGGCTTTCGGAAACAAGTGGATCGTGGTAGCTATCGACTACCTCACCCGCTACGCCGAGACAAAAGCCCTGCCGAAAGGCAGTGCATCCGAGGTAGCTAAGTTTTTCGTCGAAAATATCGTCCTACGTCACGGCGCCCCGGAGGTCCTTATCACCGACAGAGGAACGGCATTCACTGCCGACTTAACTCAAGCGATCTTGGCATACAGCCAAACAAACCACCGCCGGACGACAGCGTACCACCCACAGACCAACGGCCTCACCGAGCGGCTCAACAAGACGATCGCCGACATGCTGTCAATGTACGTCGATGTCGAACACAAGACGTGGGACACCATTCTTCCGTATGTGACCTTCGCATACAACACGGCGGTGCAGGAGACGACGCAGATATCTCCATACAAATTGGTCTACGGAAGGAGCCCGGCAACGATGCTCGATGCCATGTTACCCAACGTCACCGACGAAGAAAACCTCGATGTGAGCGAGTACCTTCAACGCGCCGAAGAAGCCAGACAACTTGCGCGTCTCCGTATCAAGAATCAACAGACGACAGACAGCCACCGTTACAACCTTCGACGACGCTTCCTGGAATACCAGCCCGGTGAACGTGTTTGGGTGTGGACGCCGATACGCCGACGTGGACTAAGTGAAAAGCTTCTGCGACGGTACTTCGGACCGTACAAGGTGGTTCGACGTCTCGGCCGACTTGATTACGAGGTTGTCCCCGACGGCATCACGAACTCTCAACGACGCCGATCGCGACCTGAAGTCGTCCATGTCGCGCGCCTCAAGCCGTTTCATGCACGTTAACAAACTGAAACAGTGTTTTTTTTTGTATTATTGTTGTATTGTAATTTATTCATTGTACTTTCTTGCATTATTATTGTACCTTCATCTTTAGTTAAAGCATCGGGACGATGCCTTTTTTCAGAGGGGGGCACTGCCACGTTCCATTTCACAAGTTTTTGTTATCGTTCCGAAACACCACACGATTCTCGGCGCAAACCGCGCCTGCAGGTTTCGAGAAGGTTCCGGACTGTAGTAGATCATTTCGATAAGATCACGCCCACTGTGCGAACGGTACAGATTGTTCTGGAACCTACGCCGCCGCCAGCGATAACGCTAGAACATTCGACGGCAAGGGTATAAATGCCGACGCGCTTCGCCGCTTGTCAGTTGTTGATCGAAGGCCGACGCTGCGTTCGCCGCTATCAGTCCGAGACTGCTATCTGTGCAAGACTGCTGCTGTAATTAGACTTTCCCTTTACCGGGCACAGGCTCGCCCAAATAAACAGGTAAATCCCAACACGAAGTTTTCTGTCTTTGGCCACGTCACGACCCCGTGACAATATGATTAAGAAGTTTGCAGGTACAACGTTGCAGCAGCAAGGACTGGACAGGGCTGATTGGTGGAATATGGGAGAGGCCTTTGTCCTACAGTGGGCATAGTCAGGCTGGTGATGATGACTGCTTTTGCAGAGGCTGCTGGATGCCTGCCTGGACTGGGGTCCCTGGGGTGGAGTGGCCCGTCCTGTTGGAGGAGGCGGTGGTGGCGGCGTCCGCCAGGTGCCCCTCGCACAGCGCACTCGCTGGCGCTACTGCACGGAGCTCCAGGAGCTGCGTGACCGCCTGGGGGAACCACGCACCTCGGATGAGGACGACCTCTGCTCGGGTGGGTCCTGTCATTTTGTTACGGGCTGTACACACTGCTGTTGCTAGTCCAAACTAGAGAAAGATGCAGAACAAGCTTATACATTCAACTAACATTTATTTGTTCTTTTTGTTTAATGTACTAAACATGATTGTTACTTTTATTTGAAATTTAGCGAATTTTCAATAGTTTTCATTGGTACAGATTATATGAGTAAATTGCTCAGAATTGCAAACTTATAAAGTTCTTATAGTTCTGATGTCTATCCCATTTTTTCTTTATTGATGTCTATACGTACTTTCTTTGTGCATTCTTTTTTCTTTCATGTGGTATTTTATACCTTTATTGTTGTTGTAAATCGCACCACTGTATGCCATTCTCTGGTGCACGGGTCTAGCAGGGGTGAGACAGCTGCGCATATTACGCATTTTCGATACATCTTTGTTTTTTTGGGCTTAACTGCTCCGAAACACCCTCGAAAGCTAGAATTTCAATGCCAACCTCAGCTTCAGTGGGGAAAAAGGCCAAGTTGACTAATAAGACGCGCTCAGGTGTGTTTTTTCCTTCGCACCTTTCTGGTGATGAGCCTTCATCACCAGAAATTTTAATCGAATATGCCTGCTCCCATGGTTCTGCCATAATCTACTCTACACTGTTGAAAATATTTTCAGTGAGACAAGCAAATGACTCTTCATTCTCTTTAGATATCATGAAAATATTGTGAGCGTGACAAGCGAATGACTCTTCATTCTCTTTAGATATCATCATCACCTGTACATCTTCATCATCTGTAAATATCATCACCAGTGTGATTTAGCTCGAGCCTGGCTGAATAAAGCGGTTCCTCACAAGTGGTGATCGGTGCTTTTCATTCCCCCAAGTCCTCTCGCCCGTTCTCCCTGGAGCTCTACTCGGGTCGTCGCATACAACCCCCTGCCATGGCGGCCCAAAAAAACCCTGGCCCATTCAACCTCGCTGTCTTACTGCAGCCACCAACACCCGCTTCGCCCAACATTATTCGCCTGCGTGATCCACCTATATTTTCCGGTCTCCGAGGCGATGATGTAGAAAACTGAATCAAGAACTACGACCTCGTCAGCAATTTGTACAGGTGGGACAATCCACAGAAGTTGCACAGCGTCCCATTTTACTTGTCCGATGTTGCCAAAACTTAGTCCTGGAATCACCACTCGGATCTTCCTGACTGGGACACTTTCGAGCAGCAACTTCGTCAAATTTTATGTGCCTTTACAGTTCGCGCTGAGGCAGCAAAGAGGAACCTCGCTGAACGCACGCAGCTGCCGGGTGAGTCTTACACCTCTTATATTGAAGATGTCCTTGCACTGTGAAAGCGTGTTAACTCTGCCATGTCTCAGAACGACCAAATACGCCACATTATTAAAGGCATTAACACCGTTGCCTTTAACGCCCTCGCCACGCAAAATCCTGCCTTCACCCAGGACGTGATAATCATCTGTCAGTGACTTGACGAGCTTCAGTATTTTCGCCTGTGCTACGATGCCACCGACATTCGTTTGCCTGCACCCCTCGACTTGCCTGCGCTTATTCGGGACATCGTTCGTGAAGAGCTTCACGGGCGCTGCTCTTCCTGCGCTGCGGATGTTGCTCTTCCTTCTGCAAAATATAGCTTGCGAGACCTGATTAAACAAGAGATCGCATCCGTATCGCGTCCGACGTGTTCTAGCGATCCCTGCATGCGCTAGATAACCACGTACGCCGAAGTTGCCGCGCTCTCTGCCGCACCCACCGTTTCTGTGCCTACACCAGCAGACCATACGCCTGTGACTTCGTTGTCACCGCCAATGTATGCACTGCCTTACTACGCACCTCAGCGTCCACCTCGGCCAATCTGCCCCGCCGCGGCGGTCTAGTGGCTAAGGTACTCTGCTGCTGACCTGCAGGTCGCGGGATTGAATCCCGGCTGCGGCGGCTGCATTTTCGATGGAGGCGGAAATGTTGTAGGCCCGTGTGCTCACATTTGGATGCACGTTAAAAAACCCCAGGTGGTCGTTAATTCCGGAGCCCTCCACTACGACGTCTCTCATAATCATATGGTGGTTTTGGGACGTTAGACGCCACATATCAATCAAATCACCTCGGCCAATCTGTTACTACTGCGGCTATCAAGGACATATCGCTCGGTTTTGTCGAAGGCACCAACAAGACGACCAATGCGGCTACGCTCCTGAAAACCATCGAAGCTTTCGTCGGACCATGAACTACCTACGACCACCCTCCGGCTCGTCCTATTACCGTTCACCGTCTCCTACCTACCATACTGACATGCCTGGGAATTCCCGTATGTCTAACTTCAGGTCGACTTCGTTAGGTCGTGTTGCCTCTAGTGTCGCCTCTATGGCCCGCCTCCAATTCCATGAACGCCCACGCGGAAAACTCTCCGGAGCAGTTTTAGGAGGGGAAACTGCATCCACCGGACAGCTAACAATTCCTCCAGAGCAGCCATCGAATTTGATAGTAGTGTTTGTCGAAGGTGTACGCGTTGAGGCTCTTGTAGACACTGGTGCTGCCGTTTCGATTAATCGTGCTGATTTTTGTTCCTGCCTTCGAAAAGTCACCATGCCTTATGGCGGCCCACCTCTCCGTACAGCGACCAACACTCTCATTCATCCACTTGCACAGTGCACTGTTCGTGTCTGCATAGAAGGCATTCGTCATCACATCGTTTTCGCGGTATTTCGTGAGTGCACCCACGCTCTCATTCTAAGGTGGGATTTCTTGTCTTCTGCGTCCGCTTTCATATCTTGTCATCAGCGCCTCCTGCATCTAAATGCCACTGACTCTTCTCCGCTTGAACACAATGGATGCACCCGCCTTGTCACTACGTCAGATTATGTACTTCCACAATACATCGAAGAAATTATAAGTATTAATTCCACCGACATTGTGGATGGTGACGTACTAATTCTCCCTTATGGCCATACCCTACGTAGGGGCATTGTGATCACACCAGGGCTTATTCGCTTCTTGGATGGGTCTACCTACCTAACTGCCTTAAATCAAACGCCCAAGTCTATACTGCTCCCCTGTGGCTCAATAGTGCCTTGCGCGGTCGACAGTGAGCCTGTTGCGATTGTTACTCTTCCAAACAACGACCACAACAATGTCCCAAAGTCACAATCACTGCCACTCAATGCCTCTTCCACACCTGTGTCGGCAACCATAAGCACTGACTTAACACCTGATTAAACTGATGATTTGCTTGCCCTGTAGAATAGACACTGTTCTCTATTTGACGGTAACTCGCCCGCTTTCGGCATGACTACCACTGCTACTTACAGCATCCAGACTGAAGGCTCTCGTACTGTACATCGGCGTCCATATCACGTGTCTCAGGCGGAACACAAGATCATCGCAGAAAACGTCTTGGACATGCTACGGTGCAACATCATACGTCCTTCCTCGAGTCCCCGGACATCCGCAGCTGTTCTCGCTCAAAAGAAAGATGGGACAGTGTGTTTCTGGGTCGATTACCGTGCGTTAAACAAAATAACGCGCAAAGATGTTTATCCTCCCTCGCGGATCGACGACGCACTGGATTCATTACAGGGCACGGAGTATTTTTCTAGCCTCGACCTTAGGTCAGGCTACTGGCAGATACCAATGTCGGAGTCTGATAAAGATAAGACTGCTTTTTCAACGCCAGATGGGTTGTGCGAGTTCAATGTGATGCCTTTTGGACTCTGTAATGCGCCCGCCACCTTCGAACGCATGATAGACGGCGTATTGCGTGGTTTGAAATGGAAAACGTGTCTGTGCTATCTCGATGACATAGTAGCGTTTTAATCCACGTTCTCGCAGCATCTACAACGACTTGACGAAGTCCTCACACGTCTTGTAAAAGCCGGTCCACAGCTTAACACCAAGAAATGTACCTTTGCTAGCAAGACAATCAAGGTTCTTGACCATCTCGTCAGCAAAAAAGGAATTAGGCCAGACCCCGAGAAGCTTGCCGCCATCCTCGATTTTTCTCATTCACTACGCCAAAAGGACCTGCCTAGCTTTCTTGGGTTATCATCTTACTTCCGGTGCTTCATACGTGGCTTCGCGGAACTTGCGGCTCCGCTCCATCAACTCCTCGCAAGGAACGTCCCCTTCGTTTGGTCCGAAGACTGCGAAAGCGCTTTCACGGCATTGAAGCAAGCCCTAACGTCGGATCCGGTACTGTGCCACTTCGATTCCACTGCACCCACCATCCTTCACACCGATGCAAGTAGTCATGGTCTTGGTGCGGTACTCTTGCAGCGTGACAAAAACTCACCCGAACGCGTCATTGCTTACGCAAGTCATGTTCTTAACGCTGCAGAAAAGAACTACACTATCACCATGCAGGAGCACCTTGCTGTTGTTTGGGCAGTGAAAAGATTCCGACCATATCTTCATGGCTGTCATTTTATCGTCGTTGCCGACTATAACGCCCTATGCTGGCTTTCATCGCTGAAAAACTTACCTGGTCGCCTCGGTCACTAGGCGCTTCATTGCAGTAGTATGATTTCGATGTCACCTACAGATCTGAGAAGAAGCATCAAGATGCTGATGCTCTGTCGCACTGTCCTTTGCCCAGCGGAGGCCACTCACCATCGATACACCAAAATGACAGCACCTCTCCAATCGCAGCGCTAAGTTCATCACCTCGCACCCTATCCGTCCTTGTTTCACAACAACATGTTGACCCATACTGCCGCACCATTGTTGACCGCTTGACCAGCTCTACTGCTCCTCCAAACGCCAGACTCCGTCGACAACTTAAATAATTTAAGCTTGTCAGTGGTGCTTTATACCGCTACATTTACCACATCGATGGCAACAAGTGGGTACCGTATTTTCGCGCGTATAACCCGCACCAAAAACCCAAAAATTTCAGTGGCAAAGTGGAGGTGCGTATAATACGGGAGGTTTTTTCTATAGTGCTGCTTCACAGCAATGCGTGTTGTGCTGTGAAGCCCCTTAATAGTGTAGCGAAGGCTACGGAGACTGTTTCC